TGTGTGTGTGTGTGTGTGTGTGTGTGTTATAAGCACACACCCTCTGACTCTCACTGAGGTGACGGCTGTCACACTGCTCAATGTTTCCTCTGAGTCAGCAAAAATGAGAAGAGGAGGAGAGTGATGGAGAGGCTGGAAGGAGGGAGAAAGAGGGACAAAGAAGGGAGTACGAGGAGAAAGAGAGATATCATGAGAAAAATTTCAATTTGAATTGAGGTGAGAGGGGATGTTTCGTCCAGAAAAAAGATCAGCAAAAAGAAAAAAAAGTATTTTAAGTAGGTGAAAAACATCAGGGGTAGATAATGGATGGACAGATGGCTAATTGGAAACTGAACTGATATTGATGTTGTCACTGAATTTGCTGAGAATGAATCCACAAGTTTGTGTTAGTAAACAGGTGTGTAATGAATATGCAGTAAATATGTGGGAAAAGGTTTCATATTTGTTTTTTACACATTGTATTCATGACACTGAAATGTGAAATGAAAAGTTATATGCTGCAAAGAAACTACTAGGAAATCAGAAAATGTAAGACTTTTTGAAAAGAGGAAAAAGTAAAAAAAATACACTTGCACCTCTCCCTGACATTCTTTGTGAACACAACAACATTCTCACAAATAAAGACTATTCTTTAGAGCAACACATGAAAGAAATGAGACTATTACCTAGTGGTTCTAAATGAGCCCACAGGATGACAATCACCGTCTGGCAGCCCTCAGCTTAGGTACAGAATGTAAGAAAGCAAATCAAGGTTTTTGGGTTTGTTTTTTTTTTAAATTTCAAAAGCAGATTGCACACAGCTGCATAGATGCAAACAATCTGAACTGCAGGTGGACAGCTGCAGCTGCACGAGCTGCAGTGTGTGCACATCACTGGCTTTCTTACAGTCTAGTCTATCTAACCATCTACCTGCCTTGCCTACTTGCGTGACCCCCGACACACACACACACACACTCACACACCTACACACACACACACACACACACACACACACGGGAAGTTATGATACGTGTTTGAAGTGAGCCGCCACCCACTGGTCCTGACGGCGGTGTCACATCAGCACCAACTCGGGCTGGCATGTGTCTGAACCCACGCAGCCTCCACCCTGAGCACGACGGAGCGCGCAGCTTAGGCCGCGTGCACAAGCGCGAGCGCACCCACACGTGCTGTGACCATGGCGGGTATCATGCAGAGGTGCCCTATGGACACACTCAAAACATGAAGTGAGTGAGAAGAGTTGCTCACCTGCTCCGCTGGTCGGCGGTGGCAGGCAGCAGCCCGACGTCCTCCATCCATCACCGGCTGACGAGGCGCTCAGAGGCCCGCTGACAGGCGGCCAGAGCCGGGACAGCAGAGCGGCGGAGCTGGGAGGAGGAGGAGGAGGAGGGAAGCTCTGTGAGTCTCCGCTGCTGCTTCTGTTTCTCAAACACACAGACAAATCTGGAAATGTGGGCTGCGATGCAAGAGATGAGAGCAGCCTGTATCCCGACATGCTGCACTCCACCGCGGCTGCACCTCACTCAGCCAGGCCGGTGACAGACTGGTGCCTCCGCCTGTGACAGCTGAGGACACGTTACAGCCTTCTCTGGAAAATACACAAGAATTAAAAGTCGCCAGAGAAAAACTGAAATTAACTTGGGTAATAATTTACTTAAGGAGCAAATAATGATTGCAATTCAGAACTATTTTTGCGCCTTCATTCGTACAAATCATAAAAAGACACTACTGCTGACAATAATAATAATAATAATAATAATAATAATAATAATAATAATAATAATAATAATAATAACAATAAAACAATAAAAATAATAATAATGATAGTAATATAGCGTCTATCTAAACATTTTCATTATATTCATTCCAGACTAAATGCGACGATGTCGTAATACAATCAAATGTATTTGTTACACGTAATATATTGTAATATGTTAACACCTAACATTTCAAAATTGCCTTTAATATTTTTATAAACCGAAGATAAAGTTAAGATGCTGGTTAAAGTCGAGCAACTTATTTTTTTTATCGTTCTTTCTCTAACATAACGTGTCATCATTTCATCAAAAATAATCAGAAAAGTTGGAAATAATAAAACTGTTCTTAAACTGGCTCATTTGAGAGTTTGTTTTCGTTTTTATCTACAGTCCTAAAGCTGTAATAAAACGCAGCAGGCCTAAAATAACCACAGGACGGGAGCATATTTCTGACATTCTATAAATCATTTAGGGCCAGAGTTTCTTTTGCTTACTTTCTTCTATACAAATTAAACCTGCACTTTAACAATGACGGCGGCAGCAGTCTGACAGGTTTGGGACAGAACTTTTTATTAAACATTATGAAAACAAGATTCTTAACAACGATCCACTTTGTAGGGTTTTCACTTGTTGACACGTCAGGACACGTTCATTGAATAAATATAGAAATCATATATACAGATATACATTTACAGCACTGTGCAGAAGTTTGTTTTTATTTCCCTTTTATTTATTCCCTTTAAGTTCACATTATTGTTGTTGTTGTACAAAATAATAATCATAATAATAGCAACATTTGATCCCAAAAATCGAATTAAAACAAAGAAAGTCACCGAGGAGAATTTGTTGTTCGCTCAAAAATAAAAAGAATACAGAAATAAATCAAAGAGGTTAACTTGAAAATTGGTCGCAAGAATGAAGTCACATTTCTGATAGCTGTTGTTTTAGATCGCATAAAAAAAAGATTTTTGGGGAAAAGCAAATAATTAGTAATCTCAATTTTATTGTTGCATTTTGCGTTTGTTTTTTTTTCTCTGGCTTTTGGATGTGAATGGAAGATTTGCAGTCTCTCCTGCACGTCTCGTCCTCCAACAGGTAGGCTGAGCATCGGACACTTCTGCACAATATTGCACATATATCTAGGCAGCAGAACACACACGAACCAGGGATTTCTTGTTGACAGAATAATGCATCGAGTTACTCCAAGAACAGTAAGCTCTACCACCAGGCAAAGTCTTCTCTTTTCTAACAATCAAGCATCCTCCTATCACACACAGGATCTTATTAAGACACGGGTCTGCAGAATGAACCCACAGGCTACATTTTTTGTCTACAAATATTTAAAGTAAAAAAAAAAAGAAAGAAAAAAAAAAGAATAATGAAACTAACTTTTATTTTTTTTAATCATCAGGTTGATGCATAGAGTTTTAGCAGCGAATGCAGTCCTTGTCCATTTCTTAAATGAGGATTTTCGCCTCATCAAATTTACATCCAGGATTTTAAGAGAGTAACAGATCAAAGGTCCTATGAGTAGAAAACAAAAGTCCAGTTTGATCTCTTCTTAGTGCAGTATAGGCTTGCCTTTGACATTACACATGTTCAGTAGGAGGAAGAGGATACCATAGACGATTTGCATGCTGTAACATACAAACATTTGTATTAAGACATTTCGAATAATCCAAGCAACAAAAGCAGTTTTCTTTAAAAAGAGAGAAGGTAAAATAACACAGTTAACTGTTTTTCTCTACACATTATGTACACGTGGAAATAAATACAGTCTAAAATCTGGCTCAGATAATCTCTTTTTGTCGTTTTTCTTTTCTTTTTAAAACAATAGAAAAATTGATTGAAAATAGCAAGTTAAAGACGCATCCATTTTTCGCAGTAGCAGATTGTTTTTGCATTTTTGTCCGCAGTCCTTGCACCTCTCGGGGATAGTGGGAGGCAGGGGGAAACATTTCTGTGGCTTTTTGCATACCCAGGCCTTACTGATGGCAGAGGAGGAGAAGGAGAAGCGTTCGAGGAGGAGAGAACCACGGGTCATGCTTTCCATATGTGGGAGGACTGTGGGAGATGACTGGAAGTTACCATACATGTCCTGCATGCAGGGTTGCAAATAGGGATGGGGGTCTATTAGACTTGCATTATTGAAAGGTCTCCTCTCTGCATCACAGACCGCCTCTCTTTCACATCAACAGTCTTTGGAGCTTTCTGGAGCGAAAAGAGAGGAGGTGTATTGCTTCTTCTGCTTCTGTTTCAGTTCATTCAGATTTTCTTTTTTTCTTTTTTCTTTTCTTTAAAAAATCATTCTTTGCCCCAGTTTTAAGACAAAATCATCACTCTCTCTAAATTAAGACAGTCATATTGGTTCAGTAAGACTTCTGACTAGGGTCTGTTGCACCAGAGAAAAGTCTACAGGCTAAGTGATCCCATGTGCCCACCTGACAGCTTGCAGCGGGCGTACAGAAGTTTAGCCTAAACATCTTTAAGACTCAAAATGCGCAAAAGGGTTAAGTCTGTGCGCATCTAATGCTTATTTGTTAAGATGTTGAGTTTGAAAGTCTTTTCTGTCGGGGGAATAACTGTAAACAAAATACAAACGCAGAAAAATATAAATTAATGTAAGAAGGATGTTTAGGTGGGGTGTATTTCAGAGTCTATGCTACAAATCATCAGTCTCTCACATGAAGAACTCAGTGTTGGCCTGTTTCCCAGACGGATCTCTTGTGTTCGCAGGTCCACCGGCATTGTAGGTCCGGCTGGCCAGCTTCTCATACTTCTCCTTGTATAGATCCCTTTCCTTGACAAGCCGCGCCACGTCCTGCTTCAGCTGCTCCACCTGGTTCTGCAGGGTGCACTTCTCGGTCTCCAGCATGTGCCTCTGCTGCACGCGTTTGAAGCGGCAGGACTGCGCGTAGCCCCGGTTCTTCAGGGTGCGTCTCTTCTGCTTCAGGCGAATCACCTCCTCCTTGCTGAAGCCCCGCAGCTGCCGGTTCAGCTCCCGCACCGTCATGCTGACCAGCTGCTCGTCAGAGAAGCGGTCCTCCAGGCGGGCGTGGTGGCCGTGGTGGTGGTGATGGTGGTGGTGGTGAGCTTGGTGGTGGTGGGCCGCCGAGGCTGTGGACAGGTCCTCCCCGACGTACTGCTGCCCGCGGAAGCCCTCGTAGGCCTGGTGGTGGTGGTGATGGTGGTGCGCGTTGCCGATTAGGGCCTCCACCGCGTCCTCCGGGGTCAGGTTAAGCGCCTCGGGGTTGATGTGGTGCTGGTAGCTGGGGATCCAGTACAGGTCTTCCAGCTGAGGCTTGCCTGCGTTGCTATGATTGTTGTTGCCGCTGCTGTTGTTGCTGCTCCCGCTGCTGTTGACGCCGCTGGCGAGGCCCTGGTTGGGCTGCGCGCCCGGACTCGGGGCGCAGAAGCTGGGCGAGGAAGGCACTGAGGAGCAGGGTGTGCTGATCGGGGTGGAGGACAGAGAGCCGGACGGGAGGCGGTGGCAATAGCGGTCAGCCTCCGGTGGCTCTTTCTTGACCTCAAACTTCATCAGGTCAAAGTCGTTGACGTACTCGATGGCCAGAGGGCTGTTGGGCAGCTCTGCGCTCATGGCGAGGTCGGTGGCCATGTCAGTCCATGCGACGACTCCTGCCCTCACAGCCAAACCGACGGCGGGCAGCCCTCTTGGATACAGATTGCGAAGAGGAATAAAAGCCTGTATGGTGTATATATAGACACACGCACACGCCCGGTGCGTGGAGCTGCTGCAGGGCCGGCGGGTGGGTGGAGAAACTTATTAAGGCTGCTCGTTCCTAAGACAACTTCTATATATAGTGGCGTGAATATACGTATGCATGTAAATGAACTTGTACACCTGCCAGTTTGCCTCCACTCGCTGCTCTTGTTGACAACTTATCCCAGGTCAAATGCACGCTTTAATACCAGGAGCCCCCGGGGCGGCTGAAACTCGAGCCCGGTGAATTTGGAGACACCAACCTGTCTTGTCCTCGCTTCACCTCTGCAGTCCACTTGCCTCCTTGTGATTTACTGTCCTCGGTTCTGCTCGATCAAGTATCACGAAAAGATTTTCTCTCCTCCGGTCGGTGTGTTATAAATATTTTCCAAGCATCCTTCTTCGCTTGTTTACAACTTGATCATGAAGTCCCAGCAGCGGGCTGAAGTCACTGCAGCATGGCCCGGATTGAAACTTTCTCTCACAATCACAGTAAGCAGCGTGTGGCAGTCACAGAGTGCTGCGCAGGCGTGCGTAAAGGTGTGCCAAAAGTCCCAGGAATCCAAAACGAAATGGCACGTTCAGATTCTTTCAAAGTTCATATAGAATAATGTGAAGTTGCAGGTCTTACTGGAGGGACAGGGGGGTCTGGTCCCTGGTTGTTGTGGTCAGTCCATGTACTTAACTCAAGCAGCGTCTACTTACAGGCTCGGTCCCCACGGTCCTGTCTCCCCTTGTCGGGCCGCGCTGTTGACCTTACGTGTTGACTGTGTGTGGAATTTTATGCAAAAAGTGATAAATTCCAGTTGGTTTTGCCTATAGTATTATTCAAACTGTTTCTAAGAGCTTCACGGTGCAACAACGCAGTGTCACTGAGGCGCTGGAAGGCAATCTGCACTTATAAAGGCAGCGTGGCCCCCGACCCTCCCACACAGAGGTGTGACGGGCCAATGGGAGGAGATCGCAAGCAAGCATTTGCATTCTCCTATAGCAGAGCCTCTGCTCCGGCAGAGGCCGGCCGAGAAGAGCCGAGCAGAGCCGAAGGGAGAGAAGCGCGCTGGGAGAACAGGTGCAGCAGATCCCCCCCTCTAGTGACCGAGCCAATGCTACTGCACGGCGGAGCGCGCAGTAAGATGAGAAGTCCGGGAGTTTCTCAGAGAAAAAAATGTTTACTCGGTACAGAGAAACACTTTTCACCGTTTCAAACCAGCTGTCAGTTATGTAATGAGGCTATCCGCATGAAGTCAGAGAACGTGACCTCCAAGTCTTTAATTCGTGGTATTCCGGGTGTATAGTTATGTCTATAGGAACTTAAAATGAGTCTGCTTTATACTCTTGAAGGTTCTGATCGACTTGAAACTAATTTATGGTTTTATCATGTAGCATTTCTCAGGAACGTGTACCGACATATCTATATTGTATGGCATTGTGACATTGCCTTTCACTGACAAAATGGGTATGAAGTGGAATTGAACCAAAAGATATTCGTGGATTTCATACATTCAGAGTATATTTTACTTTTCTGTGATCCCATAAATGTATCAAATATCATTTAACCTCTGAAAAAGAAACCTATTGATGTTCAAACAAAATCAGAATCAAGGTAATTGGCTGTATATGGAGACCCATATAGAGACTTTGACTGGTAGCTGCCAAGGCGCACACACACACACACACACACTTGTACAGGAGGTAAAGCTGGAGAAATACAGAAGAACTGTATTGGAAAAAAGAAAAAAACAAAACATTTAAAAGTTAGAGAAAGCAATGCAGCCACAGCAACCAGACAAAAATACACAAGTGCAGAACTAAACTGTTTGTCAGTTAAACTGCTGCTCCAGTGGATATGGACGCGTAAAGGAAACACTGAGCAACTATCTTCTGTCTTATTAACTTTATTAAAAACAGCTTATTATATTAACTCTACTCCCTCAGGTCTCACAAAGGAAGCCCTTAGATTCCTCTGACACCACAAACCACCAAATCTATCAATCACTTATCGATTTAAGGCCGCGCGCCCCTCTGACAAAAATCAATCGGCATTTCCGCGGGTCTATGAGGAGGCCGCGCCGTGGCTGCGCGCAAGTTACGCGTGATTGGATGGTTTTCATTCGCAATTAAACACAAATTGCATCCCAACTCATCTCCGCGGATCGACGGATAATTAAGTTCCCGCTGCGCTTTCTCCATTCACGACGCATGTGTTTTTCTCCAGGGGCGAGAAACTTTCAGGTGGGGGTTTGAAGCGAATCAGAGCGGGAGGCTGAGCAGGATGTCGATAGCGCTGATAACTGTCATGGGAGCAGGACTTAAACAGGGACACCGCTGCACCTGACCCGTTTAGCCTCTTCAGCAGCGGCCGCCCCCGGAGTCCCATCCGCTCTCCGATATGTGAGTGATATATGTGCGCTGCAAAGTGCCGATCCGAGAAAATAAAACAGGTGGCAGTAAGTTTCACTTGGTCAGATGTGAACAGGAAAACCTTGCACAGCTGCTGAGCTTAACTTCCAGTCCGAACTGGCCATGAAATACGCCGCTCCCCCCCAGCCCACCTCAAATCTGCTGGCAAGGATGAAAAGAAGTGTATGAGATGAAGGATGAAGGGGTGGAAATCATATCAAGGTATTTTAAGTTTAGGTGCGCTAAGTCATTAGGAGAGGTTTTTTTTTTCCTTCTTTTTATCAAATAAGCAGGAGCTGGCCCTCAAACGCCAAGCTAAGCAGTCCGCATTGAAATGCCACATTTAAGAAGATCTGCTGTGGTCCATTCATTGTCAGGGGAAGGGGAGTGTCTGCGGCCGAGGGCTTGAGACATAAATTTTTGAAGTCAGGGTTTTCATTGTGTCTTTGCATATTGGGACTTCGCTGCAAGTGCAGTTCTACCGACTTAAGCAAAACGGACATCAGCAAGGTGGAGGATCGACGGCGCGCTTTGAGCCGGCCGGGAGGAGAGCTTTGAGCCAAAGGTAGCGAGCATCCAGACCAAAGACAGCAGCTCCAGGAGGTGGCTCAGGGTTATCTGAGGCCTGGAGGCTCTTTGTCACCGCCGGTAAGTCACTAATGCCGCGGCGGAGGAATCAGCTTTAATTGTGTAGGAGGTGTGACACGCACGCAGGCATGTGCACGGACAGTGAAGTTGCAGGGAGGCTTACTTCAGAAATGAGAAGTTTCACCACATTTAGGAGAAAGCTTGTATAGAAATAATGTTTGTTCCCCGCAGTGATGAAAGGTTCCTGCCTCAAAGAAGCAGAAAATGTGACACCACCGAGTCTGGGCTGAAAGGAGGAGAGTATGAAAATACACAAGATAACAATAACTTGGCTTCTATTTTTGTAGTTTTGGCCAAAATTTCTGCCAGTTATGATCACACTGTATTCATCAAGGTGAATGCCGAGACTTGGGAACAGGGTGGCATCTGAATCTGAGGACAGACAAGACCCAGTAAAACCTTTGGAGACTGGACTAACTACACATGACAGCTGTTCCCAGAAACATGCAGATTTCACTGTCAGAAAGCAGCCCATACCAAACAGCTGAGTGAACTCATACTGATTAAAAATGAAAAAAATTCATCAATTCCTCCCTGTAAGGAACTGAGCAATGTTTAGTCCCACTGTGACCCCGATCAGAGGATGTGTCATGTGTGACCATGTATGTATGATCTTCTGACGCTCAACACAAACTCAGCCACAAGGAAAGTGGCATTAAGGCTCCATATCAGCTTATTATTCATATCCTGATCTAAAAGAAGTCACTGGAAGAAACACAAATGGTCAGATTCAGATTATTTGAAAAGGTAAACTACAAGTGAGAACACATACAATTAGGGCAGCAACTAACAATCATTTTATTCATGAATTCATCTGTCAGTTGTTTGCTCAATGAATCAATTAAATGTTTGGTCTATCAGTGTCAGACGATTGTGAAAATGTCTATCAATGTTACCTCAAGCCCAAGATTAAAAATGATTGACTTCAAAATATTCACATGTAAGAAGCTGGAATCAGAGAATTTATACTTTTTCCATTGATGTCAATGTCAATGAAAACATTGCACACATCTGTTGAGTTCATCAAGAGTGTCAGTAAACTGATGGAAGTTTATGAGAGTTTGGATCAGGAATTTATAGATCACCTTAGTTTTCTTTTTCAAGAAATTTGCTTCACCTGGGGGATTTCTTTATAGGTGTTACTGGCATCCTGTCAGATCTTTGTAATAGTTTGTTGTAACAATCTTTCATATGTTATCTGTTATGACCTATGGGGCATATTTCTCTGTCCTTTATTTTATTCTACCTTAGCAGCCAAACAACTTTGCCCTCTGACTATTAGTGAAGTTAGTCAGTCAGTCTGTCCATCTATCCATTCATGATGTTATCATAGCTCATAGGTATGAAGGCCAACTCCACCAAAAGAACATCCAAGTTTTAAAAAAGTGGAATTTTCCTTAAATGAACTTAAGTAAAGCTGAAGACGACAAACCTCACAGAAGGACAGCAGGATTTTTGAACACGCACCAAATAGATTCACAGAAATAATTCTTATCAAGTCTCCAACACACATTTTCACACAAACACACACACGGTGAAGGATCACAGTTGACCTTTCTTTTCGTCTCTGTGAGTCTCCGTGGACAGATGATTTCTCTCCCTCTGTCTTCTCTCCATCTCGTGCGCTTTTACTAAAAATTGAAATATTGATCTTAATTAGAGTTTGCCGAGCTCAGCAGCTCGCGTTGAGGGTTTTAGACAAGAGGCAGCAGACATCTGTCTAAGGCACTTACGTCTTCAGCGCAGCAGAAGAGCAACGTGGGTGAGGAGGAGGAGGAAGGAAAAAAAAAACGTGTGGTGAGAAGAGAAGAGTGATGGCTCCCTGTCTCCTGCTTTTTCTTAGAAACATGTCGAGCTCTCCATCTCCGCTCGCTGCTGTCAATACAACCGAGAGAGAAGCGAGTTGAAAAGTGACACACACACACACACACACACACACCCAACACACACCCACAATTCAAATATTCATCCTGACAAAATGTATTCAACACGGTTTACCTGGCAGAATGTGACAATCTGTAAATGGACTAAAGTTTTCAAGCTGCTCACACATGACTGATCTCAGGTCCACACTGAGGCCTGATTCAAACTAACAACAGCATGTAAAAGAATGCACCTGTGACATGTCTTTCAAAAATCCATTAACTGATTCTGACTATCTTAAAATTACAGATATCAGTGTCAGTGTGACTAGTCATAATAATGCTTGCATTTATTTTTATTTTTTTAGCATACCTATACAGTCATTCTGGCAGTCCAAATTTGAAGCTTAAAATAAATGCTTGGGCAAGCAAAATTTCCATCATCCACACTTTTATAATTCATCACTAAAAGAGGTGTAATTGATGATTTAGTGTTTGCTGAACTATAGAGGTGATTTATACTTGCCTTCCAGTGTGGTGCTCAAAAACAGTAGGAATTTCTAAATTCTTAAGGAATCCTGTGCAATGTCTGCCTACAGGGTTCACGGCACTTCAGGAATACTCCTAAAAACAGTGCTGCAGTCCAAACTGTAAATAGCTGCTGTATCCTATAAAAACAAACAAACAAACAAACAAAAAACAAATGTAAAGTTACAGCCAGCCTTTCTGTCTTCTATATGAGGGCTAATGTGACCAAATGCAGCAGACTGACCCGTCCATATTATAGTATGAACAGTGTGAGCATCCGCTGTCCCCTCTCAAAGTTGCGTGTCTGAAAACAATTCGAAGCTTACTGGCCCCTTACTTACACACATGGACAAGATTGTTGGTACCCTTCTATTGAAGAAAGAAAAAACCCACAATGGTCACTGAAATAACTTGAAACTGACTAAAGTAGTAATAAATAAAAATGTCCTAATAATTAATTCAAAATCAGACATTGCTTTTGAATTGTGGTTCAACAGAATCATTTTAAAAAACAAACTAATGAAACTGACCTGGATAGCAGTGATTGCCTCAAAAGGTTGTGCAACAAAATATTAAGGGTACCATCATTTTTGTCCAGGTCAGTGTCATTAATTTGGTTTTTTGAATGATTGTGTTGAACCACAATTCAAAAGCAATGTCTGATTTTCATTAGTTAATTTTTAGTAAATTTTCATTTATTATTAGTATTGTCAGTTTCAAATTATTTCAGTGACCATTGTAGGTTTTTCTTTCTTTAACGGAAGGGTACCAACAATGTTGTCCACATAGGAAAACTGGTCTTGCTAGATCCTACTTATGTCTAAATTAGGTATGGATGCTGACTAGTCCCATGGAATCTCAAAATAAATATATTCCCACCTTTTAATAAGCATTTTCCAGAATGGATACACTTGAAAACAGCAGTTTGTCATGTGAAAAGGGACAACTTTAACAAGACCAGAGTGAGCCTACACACAAGTGGCTCTAGGAGGTTGTTCTAAATGCTTTGAGCTGAATGCTAATGTCAACATACCAACAGGCCCATGAGAGCAGTTTTAACATGCTGATGTTAAGCAGGTATTATGTTTGGGAATGTCATCGGTGTTGCAGACATTTGGCCATGACCTGATGATTGCTTTAGAGAAAAGGTCAGTGGATCACCACAGTCTTTAGACTTCATTCTCTATTCACAAGAAATGCCTGCACCAAATTTCATGTCAATCCATCCAGTTGTTGACATATTTAACCCTTAGATGCATAAGTGGGTCAAAAATGACCTGGTGAGGTCATTTTCTTGCAATATCTTTGTAACGAAAAGTTATCGTTTCATATTCCAGCTTTTCCTTAAAACACATTTTTGATATCAGTCGATTTACATTTTTAGGTTACCTTTTATACGTTTTAAGAAGTTGTAATATTTGTATTGCTACCCTCAGCTTCCAAAAGTGGGCCACAAATGACCAACATGCTTGTCCTGTAGAATCTCATGGGAACCTGTGATTCTTATCAGTTTTCGCTGTCAGGAATATATTTACTGTGGACTACACACACTCTGTCAGAAGTGTCACCCATCAGGAAGCTTATTTGACATAGCAAAACCTGATACATGTAAATATTTTTCAACATACCTGCACATTTATGACTCATGTGAAAGCGTGTTGTTATTATGTATCATCACATTGGCCTACTTTATAGCTAGCTAACACTACCTAGCCAATAAAGCTATCTAACGTTAAAATGTGTGCGTGCGTGTACTTATTTATATAGATACATATTGATTGATTTTTATGCTTTTATGTTTCCTCATCTAGAGTGTCATGGCTGCTAGGTTTACAAGAGAAATGGTCATCCAGATGATGGATTATACAGAGGCAGTTATGGGGTTGGACTCAGAATCTGAAATCTCTGACATCTCAGATGACGAGGGCCCAGATTATCGTCCAGCTGGAGGTGTCGGTCATCCAGCTGGAAATCCAACTCTCCTAACTGAACAGGATCAATCAGGCACAGAAGATATAGAGTCCAACTGAATAACTGCCTCCATCATCCAGCATCTAGATGACCATTTCTCTTGTAGACCTAGCAATCATGACACTCTAATTGAAGAAACAGAAAAGGAACAGAATGTTTTGAGTGACATGCAAACCTATCGATCAATATGTAGCTCTATGTATCAAAATATTCAAAATCTGCATAAAGTGAAAAATTTCAAACATGAAATCATTCTTGTCTGAACCAAAATACAATACAAGCAATAATACAAATGATTATTCTTAACCAAAATGACAAAAATTGCATAAAAACAAATTGATTCTTATATGGGTCATTTTGAAGATAGAAGAGGGTAGGGTCCAATCACTTGTGCATCTAAGGGTTAAACAATGGAGCAGTGTTGCCACCCATAGATACATGTCACCAATGAATCTATAGATAAGCTTTCACAATTGCGGTTCATATTTTAAAATGTCAGTTAATCAGCAAGGTGAATTTCAACTGCAGGAACTTGTGGATTTTGAAGGTGCAAATGTTACCAGATCACTTCCATAATCGAACCATTCAGTCTTTCTGTTTCCATTGCACCAAAACAATAACAAATAGTAGTTACTTAACATAACATCCACTTTATGAGCATGTAGGAAATAGAGCAATGGTGATATGTTATGTTAGCCTATATAGTGGATTGTATGTTGTTGATGGTGATATTGTCGGGGTGAAGACTGTTGCTTGATGAGGGAATCGAGTGGCCAGAAAAAGGACACTCGTCTTTTCCGAGTACAACTAATCAACGTCGAATTAGCAGTTCTTTTTTTCTTTCTGAAAGAGGGTCAATGGAGGTGGTTCTTGCAGTCGGAACACATACAAGGGTTTGGGCTGCCCTAAAATGACCCATAAACTTGTGCCGTGGAAAACTGCCTATTGTTGCAGATGCGTCAAGGTAAACTTTGATGCCTCTATTTCTCTGTGATCTCTTGTTTTGTTGGACAGTATAACTTAACAAGCACTACTTAAAAGGCAAGGCCATGTCTTTAATAAAGTGAGAGACATTTTATTTTTTCATTAACATTACCAAATTCAGTTAAAAGGCCTAAACTAACAACAAAATGCCCCGAAGCAGCAGCATGTTCATGTGACCCACTCATTTGGGTTGTAAAACTCCATTGTTGCTTTTAAAAACTGTTAAATACGCATAATTGAGTCATCATGATGCATTGGTTAAATAGCCTGTTTATATCATAAATATGAGGCATTGCACTTATACACAAACACTGTGACTTATACACACAAACACAGTTTTAATACTTTTATTAGCACAATAAAAATAAATTTCTTTTAATCAGTTTCAATTAAGTTCTATTCTATTCTATTCTATTCTATTCTATTCTATTCTATTCTATTCTAGTAGAGCCTGTGCTTTGCAGGACATGAGAGGAGTTGTGTCTCTGCACTCAACCAAAGACATTACATATGTGAAGAGGGTTCGACTGTCTTTTTCTTCACATTAACATCAGAACAATCCAAAGTTTGCCGTTTTGTCAAACTACAGTTTACAGGTCAAGAATTTATTTTTATGTCCAATTTAAAAACTGCAGCATCTCTCCTTTCTCAGCTTCAGCCATCAAAAATGTTTTTGTCAATCAAGTATTTTGGAAAATGTCATGTTTTATGCCTTAAATATATGAAGGCTTCCAGCTTTATAAGCTAGTGAGAATTGTATTAAGTTTCTACATGGAAACTGAACAACCATAGTAATTGACTTAAAAATGCCCTGCTCAATGCCTGCTGCTTTTAGGTGAGCAATTCAGAAAAAGCAGCTGCCTCACAGTCCATCAAGTCTGCTTACTTTCTAAAGCTGCTTCTGCTAATTCTTAAATGTCTCAGCCACAAGTAAAGCTTACCCAATATTTTGCTGTTGGTTGCAGGAGTGAACACAAGATTCTTTATGCACTCCCAGCACCTGAGAGAGCAACTAAAGATCCAGTGGATAACTTAATTTTAAGGGCAATGTCCCACAACAATAGGAAAGTCCTGTTGTTAGCACATTGTGCCGCTAATGTGACTAACATTATCATTAGCTTTGGCGGTATGCCCACAGGTCAGAGCTCTATGGAAACTGAAAAGTTAATGGACATTCAGAGATGGAAACTTTAAAACCAATTCGAAAACAATTAGCAAAGACCAGGTGGGTTGTGTGCTAATGCCAACGTTTTGTACCTCAGTGCCACCTCAAATCACATGGTGTCTCCATGTCTTTGCTTCTTTTCTGCTCTCTTTGCACATATATACTGCTTTTTTCAAATATATTTTTCTAATTTCATTATTATAACTGAAGTTGTCTGACAAACTCACCATACGCACAATTAAAAATAACGGCTGTGCTATGAATTTAGTGGTAGTTCTATGTTAAATAATAACGGAAAGAAAATTAGAAGCCATGTGGTCTCAGACACTCATTTAAGTCCGTGGCAGCTACCGTACAGTCAAGTGCTGGCTCTGACCTGTCAATCGCAGAAGCAGGAAGAGGACTCTTCCTGCTTCTGCGGAGGGAGGGAACAGCAGTCACCGAGTTGTATTTAAAGCTACAGTCCATGAAGCAACCTGTTTAAAACAGAACTAAAACTAGTGCTTATACACTCATGGTGAAGTTAACTGTCCTTGCAGTATTTCGAGTTGAAAAATAGAAAGACACGTTCTGAAGAGATGTGAGATTGTTAGAATTGCTGAAAAGGGGAACAATATGGCACCTTTAAGGAAGTCAGTGTAAAATTTATATTTTGTGCAAAAAAACTGGGGAAGTCAAAGATTGTTTTGCTCGTCAAATAGATGGAAACATGTCAACACCATCAATAGGCCCATTTGGGAACCAAAAAAAATTGTAGCCATCAGGAGAGCAAGAGCCTGTAAAAGCTAATCAAATACGGTATTACACTGTCAGTCACGGGAAAATGCTGGTCTGTTACAGATGATATACTGCAATTTTGTTAAAATGCAATTCAGACTTTGTAATGCTAATTTTATCTAAATGGGCCTTTAGTGTAGATGGAAGGATGTAACTACACTATATGTTTGGCATATCAGTGCAGTTTTAACACATGAAGCAGAGGAGAAGCAGATTTGTGTGTACACTTTTTCAAACACACAGAGACGCACTCACAGCATGGTGAGGATGAAGTCACTGTGTGCTCATATGTCTCATGTCCAGGCTTTAAAGTGAGGGGCACTGCTGCTTCTGTCACCACCTTCCAGATGAAACCGCACACAAACACGCTTGAGTCACGTGACGACATTGCTGCTCCGAAAGTGAAACACATTCACATGCTATAAACACCGTCACAGCACTGACTTCACATGTCAAAAAAGAGTCTGTGAAACAAACACACATTAAAAGCTCATTCTTTATTTTTCTTTTTAAAATTTACAAAATCTGATGAGAAGAATTGGATTGTAAACAGAAGTATATATGTAAACCAGGTTTTTAGATAAAGATAAAACTCTCAGGCCCTGAGTGAAATCATTAAAAGGGAAGAGAAAGGAATATATCTGTCAGGGCAAACTTAAAAATCACATATTAATAAGACCTTTTCACCTCCAGTGCTGCTGGTCACTGCAGTCTTACAGCCGAGGCTTGATCTGCAGCTTTTTCCCTGTGAAAGAAAAAACATGATGAAGATGAAAAGAACAGTATTTGCAAAATTAAATGACAAAAAGGTATAGTTGTAAAATGACAAATTGTTTGCATTTGCTCATGTGTAGCAGTCTCTGATCTACTATGTGTTAAAATACTTGAAACCAGCTGAAATGTTGAGCGATGACATCTCAGCTTATGATTAAATGAGGACAAGAACAGGATAACAGCAATGGATGAAAGTGTGTGTGTGTGTGTGTGTGTGTGTGTGTGTATACAGAAAAAGTGTGTGTGTGAGGTTGTGCTCTGGCAGTGATACATTGCATCTGAGCTAATTTATGCAAAGCGTAGAGGAGCATGTTTGGCTGAGTTCCACCTTTAATGAGGCTCTGGGCGGTGCAGTGTGTTAGCGACAGACTAGAGTGTCATTAGTAATACTTAGGAGCACAAACCAACTGGACAGCGGGGATGGAGGATGAGCAAATGATCAGTGGTTCATGTGCATATCTGTAAGTACACTTCTGTAAAACAACAGCCTAGTTCAAGTCTTTGATGTTTTACACAGAAAGGAACAAAACAGAAAAAATAACTTTACCCATTCACAATTCCTTCTGGTTTGTATGTGTTTTCTAGTTGTGAAAAGGTAATCTAAAATATTCCATGTTATGGAGGATATGTGGGGACTCTGTAAGGAAACACTAGCTGCTGTTTGCCACCAAAGTTTCAGGATGTGGGCAAGATATCCTTTTATTCTTACTGGATATACACAGCATGCAAGGATAAAGACCTAAATGAATCAATTGTCATGCTCCTCAAATCATTCGTGAACAAAAAAGCATCAGGGAGCATTATGCTGCTGAAAGAGGTCACTGTCACCAGGGAATACAGCTGTCATGAAGTGGTGGATATGGTCTGCAACAATGTTTAAGTAGGTGGCATGCATCAAAGTAACATCCACATGAATGCAGGATTCAAGGTCTCCCCCACTACATTGCTTAGAGTATTACACTGTCTTTGCCGGCTTGCCTTCTTCCCCGTAATGCATCCTGTTGCCATCTTTTCCTTAGGTAAAAGACTATCAAGTCTCTGGCCGTCAATAGCATGTAAAAAAAATGTGAATCATCAACACAGCCCACTTTCTTCCATTGGTCCACAGTCCAGTTTGGACACACGCTAGCCCATTTTAGGTGCTTTCAGTGGTGGACAGGGTTCAGCTTGGACACTTCAACCAATCTGCAGCTATGAAGTCTCATACACAGCAAACTCTGATGCCCTGTGTCTTTTGACACCTTCCTATCACAGCTTAAAGTTTTTAGCAGTCTGTGCTGCTGTAGCTCTTCTGTGAGACTGGACTACATGGACATGCCTTTGCCACCCAGGTGCCTCAGTGAGTCTTGGACATTGACAGGCCTGGTGCAGATTTTTCAGTTGTCCTTTCTTGGACCACTTTTAGTAGATACTACCCACTGCATACTGGAAACACCCCACAACACCTGCCGTTTTGAAGACGCTCTGACCCAGTTGACTAGACATCACAATTTGACGCTTGTCAATGTCTCTCAGATTCTCACGCTGTGCTTTTTAAGTACTGACTGTTCACTTGTTGTCTCATGTATCCCACACCTTGACAGGTGCCACTGTAACCAGATAATCAATGTTACTCACGTCACCTGTCAGTGTTGTAATGCAGTGGCTGATCAGAGTATGTAAACTAGAAGTATTGGATGGCTAAGAATGGAAAAGTAAGTGTGACCAGAGCAGGAATGTCTTACAGATTTCTCAGGTTAAGAGAAAATATTGACAGATTTGTTACAGTCCAGCAGGACTGTGATCAAGCCACCAAGATGAGTTCCTGCTCAGGGTAATTATATTTTCTCTGCAATTCACATACTGTTTTCAGCATTCACTATATTTAAATAATCAAAATAATTTGATAAAAAATAATTGTCAAAAAAAAAACAAGTAAAATGGGGCCAAATTGAACTGGAAAGAGGAAACTTAGAGTTAAACAAATATGGGGGAAAAAAGAACAAATCACACAAGACAAACATAAGAAAACACAAATGAAAAAAATCTAAGAGGTTAAAAGTACAAGTGTTATTCAAAGCAATTTTTTCTTCGTAAAATGAAATATCACTTAATATATGCAAAATTAAAATAACTGTAAATCTGAATTGGATGATCCACATTCAATGACTCCACCAAATTATTGGTCACATCAGAAGTTTGTCAGCACAACAAGCAGTCTATTGACACATTTTTATATTGTTCATCAATTGTTTGCCAACTGTTTGGTTTAACATAGTCTGACTCCTTTTAATTGATAACCGCTATTTGACAAAGTTGTTTTTGTAGCTTTTTCTGTCATTCATGTTAATTATTTCATTATACTCAAATGAAACAAGCAATAAAATAGTGTAAAAATACAAAAGAGGAAGAAATCAGAACTTAGTTATGTATGTTGCATGTTATAGAGACAAGTTGAATGCAGGTGTTAGATGCAGTCAAATGCTACACTGGAGCAGCAACCTGTGCGTGTGTGCGTGTGTGTGTGTGTGTGTGTGTGTGTGTGTGTGTTCAGAAGGCAAAGGCAGGTGGATGGTCGAGCCGGTTGAAAGGAAGCAAGGGGAGGAGGGAGGACTGGGAGGGATCCGGGGAGGCAGCCTCTCTCCTAATCCTCTATCTGTCAAGTCTGTCAACAGAGAGCTCAGCTGTGCCTCCGTCCAGCCCAAAACCTAAATATTATTGCCTCTGTCCTCGGAGCATTATTTCTCCTTCCCTGTGCATCATCATACACACACCACAGACCAATCCCAAGAAATGATCCTGTACCATTCATAACCAACAAGATCCTTTTACAAATCATTTACAGACAATTGTCCTTAGAGTCGACACTTTTATACTAAGTAAAGCACAGTTACTTTTTGCCATCATTCCTGTCTGGAGAAAGAGAGTCTAACATGGGTAGAGCCTGACGGAAAACCAGACAAGTTATAAACATGCCTTGTATTTAATTCGATGATCTAAAACACTTTGTTAGGAAGTGAACATGTAAGTGAGCACAATGACATGACTGCATGTCCGTACTCCTATATTTCAAAGATAAACTGTGTACGCACAACCATTGTTGTCAAAGTTTACTGGTCAACGTTGAGGTAGGAAGTTTGCAATTTATTCACAACAGACAAACTATATAAATCTTCTCAAAAGAAGGAAACAAAGTTTGTGTGGTTTGACCAGCTGATTTCAATGCAGTCTTGTTGGAATATCCCCAAATTTCAACAATGAAGCTGGATGCTGTTATGATTGATAGGAATAATGGCTCAAAACAAACACACAAAAGCAAACAACAACAAAAAAGAAACACCCTCATGTAAGAAAAATTACTTTTTGTTGACTGGAATTACTTTACCTTTTAAGAATCAGTCTGATGATTCACCTGTTTTCTTAGTTAAAACCAAAAATTGGTTGGAAAGTTTTGCTGGTAAGACAAATGTTAGGTCTAATCTAGAAACCTAAAATGTTGTTATTTTTTAAAACAAATCTTACTTATTCTCAACCTAAATGTCTGTAAATCTTTTAACCTGCAAATAACTAATCAGTGCTTATTGATTAAGTTTATAGAGGGCTCGTCTCATACCGTTGCAGACAGTGGTCTTTTCATGACATATAGTGTACATTTCTTGGTGCTAGCTTTGTTGAGTTAAGTATGTTTCTACCTTTGACTTGAGAAGTGTCTGCTGGCGGTGTGTCTGGTGCATCTGCCTCCTCTGGAGAGCTGGAGAGGGAGATAAATGACGGCAGGGCCAGAGTGGGCATCCCTGGAGCAGCCTGAGGGTCCTGTGGCATGACGACCGACAGACGGGGCCTAGCGCAGAAAAAATACACAATTAGCCATGACCAACCAAAGTTTTATTGTCAGTCAGGCAGACGATGATTTGCATCAGTAATAATAAAACAGTTAACATTTTGTGTTTCTAACCTTTTCAAAGGCTCCTTAGTGCGTGCCTTTTTGGCTGTAGTGGCGGAGATGTTACTGGCACTTCGTTTGACTCGTTGGCGGTGCTGCAGCTTACAGCGGGAGCCCCGTGGGCAGGAGCCAGTTTTAGAGAAGTCTGGACACACCAGAGTGTGTTTCTTCTTACACTGGTGGATAAAGACACACAACATCAGGTTTAAAGTTTCACAGTCTAAGAAAGTCACAACGGCTCAAACTGAAACAAATAAAATGCAATATGGATTTGCTTCTGACCACCGTGAACTAAAGTACCCCTATGTGTGTTTGTGTGTACAGAAATATGGGTGAGAAGCAGTCAACATAAAAAAATATACAAACAGACATTGACAAAAATTGAAGTTAACTCACACATAAATTTACAAAAGAAACTATAAAAGCCATCCATGTAATGCAGAATGGAATCTTTCTGTCCTTCTGTATGTTTCAGCTGAACAAGGCCTGACAACCACAGTTTGACTTGGTAAAAAGCCACACTGCACCGCACAAATGGTATCACACAGGAAGCAGGGGTGACAAAAGACTAAAACTGCTTTAAAATAAGAAACTGACTCAACATCTCTGATAACATTTTGTGAGTGTGTGTGTGTAGCTGACATTATGACCTGCACAAGAGTGTGGCTCCCAATATAATCATATTTCAAATACATGTGATCTAGCTTAAGGAGAAGAAAAAAGGTGTATTAAAGTATTAAAAGTTGCCAGTAAACGTCAGGTGCTCATATTAGATTATTATATTGAAAAAAATATATCCTGTTTGGCTAATTGTGGTTGTACAGCATTTAACAACATCTTCAAGAAACCCCTTGTTGTTTGGTTATGGGTATTGAAATTACTGCATTATATCAGCTCTTGTATATTAAAAACAAACAAACAAACAAAAAGTCTGATGAATGCTTTCATTATACCTTTGGGAAACTGTGGTTTATATAAAACTTAGAGAGGCCTCATGATCAGAATCAGTTTGGGCCTCTTAAATTTACCAGCACTATTCTTCTGTTACGTAAGTAACTGTTGTTGCAGTTGTTGAGTCCTCTAGCAATATCTTAGAGGAGCATGTACAAACAATAAAAAGTGTTTCCACTTTTTTAAAAAGACGATACTGTCTGTTTAAATTTAAGATTAAAGATTGATTCATGAACACTTGGACTGGATCCAGCTACCTGAGTGTCTAAATTGCAATAAAAAGCTCCAAAAATGGACAAAGTGAAAAAGATGTCCTTTGTTTCAAGCAGTGGTCCATTGATCTTACTACTCACAGAGAAGGACTTATGGACAGGATTTCAAGTGGTAAAAGTGAGGCCCATCTCTTGATTAGATACTTAATATGATACTCTTGTAAGGTACTACTTTTAAGAGATTATGTTTGTGTCACCCTCTCTTTTAATGTGCAAGTTGAGCAAGTGGGTCATAGCTAGTGTCATTCGGAGGAGCACTGTGCATGAGAGAGTGAGCTTTCACATGCATGTTTGCAAGTGAGTGTGTATGACAGAGTAATATGGGTGTAAATTGGTAGCTTCATTCTCTACGAGATCCGATCCCTCCCACCTGTCAGAAAAGCTAATTATATACACTCTGGGGTGCAAGCTGCAAGGAGTGTGTGTGTCTGTGGAGGGGTGAAGAGTGCGGGACTGGGAAGCAGATTGGTCCCGAAATAGAGTGTGTACCAGGACGTGTGTGGAGGGGAGAGGGATCTTGAGATCGATTTTCCAGGAACACTGTGGACTCTTGGTCAACTGTCTCTGGAGTCCAGTGGTCCTGACTCACTGCCATCAGAGCCTCTCTCACCACCCTGACACCCATGTTCCTGCACCCCTGGGTGCCAGGGCAGCCCAGGATCAGCTCGCTGTCAAATGTTTCTCTGGATCATCTAATAGGGCTGTGGTTTTGACACAACATTTCGTTCAACAAATTAGGTCTGCTGTTGGTGTCAATGATAAATGCTTTATATTTGGTGCATGATGTCACTGCTGAACCGGTCCTGTCCTCTTATGTTGCGAATCATGACACACACTTCAGCTTATTATCATTCTTACCATCAAACAACTGACTGGCTAAAAGTCCTAACCCCACAGAGTCAATATATACTGACACAAGACACTAAAATGTGCATGTTCTCATATTTAAGCAGCTGGAACCAGAGAATCTTTAGCAGTTTTGCTTGACTTGATTTATCAATTATCAAAACTGTAATAATTGAATAATGGACTCCGATAACACTAACAGATTTTTCACTTTTCACAAGGGCTTCAAACCTAACTGCACAATGCCCAACTTTTTTTTCTTTTTAAGTTAGCCCTGGTCTATCAAACTCAGTATTCACACTGAGTTGACAAACAGCCCATCCAATCACAGATTTGTTTTAAGTAGGTTTGTATTTTCTAAGCCTCAAGTTTCTGTGTAGATGCAGGCCTGAACACTACACAGAAACTTGCAAGATGGCAGGTTTTTGTCCATTTAAAATGTTGGAGTTTTAAAAAAATAACTATTTTTAAACTTAATTTGGTTTATAACAGTGGATAAACTCCATTTATCACCTCTGCTAACCAGTCAAGATGCACTAAACATCCATTTCCCCCTTTGTTACTGAGTTATAGCACTGAATAATGACCAGAAAAGTGTTTCTGCAGAACAGTGCAATGTCTCAGGCAAGTTAAGCTTTGACCTTTTGGATATGAAATGTCATCAAGTAAAATTTTTTTTATTCTTCAGTTATGGCCCAAAACTTGTTCTGAAAAATCACAATGACTTTGACCACCAAAACCGAAGCAGCTCATCCTCAAATCCAAGTAAGCATTTGTGCCATATTCAAAGAAATTACAGATTTTCAAGTGATACTGTTCACAACACTGTTTTCCCACATTTCAGCACCAATATTGGGCCAAAAGTATCACAGAGAGCACAGGAAACACAGTTTGTGGCAAAAAATCACCACATACCTTTCCATTCACTTTGTCTGGCAACTTAAAATGCATTACAAACTAAAACGTTTCTAAAAAATACAACTACAGTAACAAAAACAGTGAAGAGATGGAGAGCTCTACAAAAGCTTTGCAATTTTAAGGCCACTCTAAACATATACAGTGCTTAACAAATTTATTAGACCACCACCCAATGTAAGGTTTATGGAACAGCTGCCCTAAACTAACACCATTGGTTATTATCAAAATATTTTTTTATACTTCTGTAATGGTTAATACACCAGTATGTAGAAGCTCTTTAACCAAAATGATATAATTTTAATGCTAAAATATAATTGTTGTTATCCATTAATTTTCAAATTTACAGTTTTACAAAAAAAAAGAAAAAATAGTTAAGCACATTATTATTTCTTAAATAAAGATGTCAAATTATAGTTATTTACTTGCATTACTGAACAGAAAAATTTGTTTTAGTCCATCCATCCGTCCATCCATCCGTCCATCCATCCATCCGTCCGTCCGTCCATCCATCCATCCATCCATCCATCCATCCAATTTTTTCTGCTTATCCAGGGTCGGGTCACAGAGGCAGCAGGCGGAGAAGGTCATTCCAGATTTCCCTCCCCCCGACAATGCTTTCCAGCTCTTCCTGGTGGATACCGAGGCAGTCCCAGGCCAGCCAAGAGATATAATCCCTCTAGCCAGTTCTGGGTCTATCCCGGGGTCTCCCCCCAGGTGGACATGTTCGGAAGGCGTTGGAGGCGTTCGAATCAGATGTCCAAACCACCTCAACTGGCTTCTTTCGATGTGAAGGAGCAGCGGCTCTACTCAGAGCTCCCACCCGATGTCCTAGCTCCTCACCCTATCTCTAAGGCTGAGTCCAGCCACCTTGTGGAGGAAGCTCATTTCAGCCGCTTGTATCCACAACCTTGTTCTTTCCGACCCAAAGCTTGTGACCATAGGTGAGGGTTGAGAGGTAGATGGACTGGTAAATCTTCACCACGACAGTCCGGTACAGAGATGCGATCCTGAGGTCCCCAAATCAGACACTCTCCTCACCCTGGCTACACCTTGAGATTCTGTCCGTGAAGACCACAAACAAGATAGAAGACAAGAGGCAGCCCTGGCGGAGTCAAACACCCACTGGGAACGTGTCTGACTTATTGCCAAGAATGTAGACACAGCTCGCACTTTGGTTGTACAGGGACCGAATGGCTCATAGCAGTGAGCCTGGTACCCCATACTCCCTCAGTACCCCCCACAGAGTCCCTCTGGGAACACGGTCATAGGCCCTCTCCAGATCCACAAAGCACATGTGGACTGGCTGGTAGAATTCCCATGCTCCCCTCAGCAGCTCCGCAAGGGAAAAGAGCTGGTCCACTGTTCCACGACCAGGATGGAATCCCCATTGCTCCTCCTGAATCCGAGGTTCGACAATTACTCGGAGCCTCCTTTCCAATAACCTCTCCAGTCCCCCTTTTTGAAAATGGGAACCACCACCCTGGTCTGCTACACCACAGGTACCGTACCCAATGCCCACGCAACACTGCAGAGACGTTTCAGCCATGACAGTTCTACAATGTCAAGAGCCTTTAGCATCATAGAGTGAATCTCATCCACACCTGGCGCTTTGCCACCGAGGAGCTTTGTAACTACCTTGGTGACCTCTACCACGGATATGGACACAGAAACCCTTCAGCAGAGGACATGTTTAGGAGTTCAGGAGTTCCTCGAAGTGCTCCTTCCACTGCTCGACAAGATTCGCCCAGTCTGGGTCAGCAGTTCTCCCTGGCTGTACACAGCCTGGGCGAATCCCTGCCTCCCCTTTCTGAGGCGTTTGACGGTTTGCCATAACTTCTTCGAGGCTGACCGAAAGTCCTTCTCCACAGCCTCCCTGAACTTCTCCCACTCCCGAGTTTTAACTTCCATGACCGCTGCAGCTGCAGCCCTTTTGGCCGGCCTGCCTGCTGCTTCAGGAAACCCCCGAGCCAACCAGGCCCGAAAGGTCTCCTCCTTCAGCTTGAAGGCTTCCCTCACCATCGGTGTCCACCAGCGGGTTTTGGGATTGCAGTTCACCCTCATTACGCATTTGGGTTTATCAGATCTGTCCAGCAGCCTTGCCTGCATTGGATCCAACTCACCACCCGGTGGCGATCAGTTGACAGCTCTGCTCCTCTCTTCACTCAAGTGTCCAAAACATACAGCCGCAG